ATAGGAATACAAAAAGAGTAGCTTTTTCGGCATTTTTACTTTTTCACTAATAAAAAAAATTATTAATTGTGTATTATTAGTGAATCACCACTCTTGATAAAATTTGTTGAAAGAACGTACTGATCACGCCGAGCAATATCATTGTTTAACTACAAAATAGGCTATATTGTATTAATCGTTTAAGAGATCAATAGATAAGTTGACCTGTTTCACCAAAATAATGTGAAACTCATACAATTTTGATATAACTATAAGAAAACCGGTATTTGTTTTCACTAAAAAAGAACTTATTTACTTTCCAAGCAACCCAAACGAAGTTGATATGAACCGTCGTAAAATAAAGCACTTAATTCAAGAAAGTTATTTTAAATATATTGGTTAAGAAATATGATAACACCGAATTGTACAAAAACCATTTTCTTTGAAACAAAAAAATGAATTAATCTAAACCTTCTTGGTTCGAAGGTGTAATTAAAATAAATGGTATATGGTTTAGCCATTTTTTCAACTCAAATATTTTAACGCTGAACACTAGTTCAACCAGCCGCAATTTCCACTTGTGAAGATGTGACTTCATAAACATTATTTTTGGTGTTTTTCGTATTGCTTGGTCTCTACTCGCAGAACGATTGTCATAAAGTACAATACTTTTAAATCAGGATATTGAAGTACGTGCTTTGCCCGATTATTTCTTGATATCTTGTTAGGATTATCAAATAACTGTAGAATTAATTCAACATTTGTTTCCTTTGTTTTCATATCATTATTTTATGCAATAGTACCAGATTTTTCGACATTATCGCTTCATTAAAAAAGTGAAGCCAAAGAAAACATAAAATAAAAACAAACATAAACGACATTGTAGAGATATCCGCAATTTTAGCCCACTGAAACATGTGGTCCAATTGTACCCATCCAATCGTAAAATTTGCACATCTAGCAATCAGTTGTAAAGACTCTTATTTGAAATTATTTACTTCAGAAGCAATTTTACTGTATTTTTTATTACAGCTTTTATTTAAGAAACATTGAGATTATGTTTACCATTAATATGATGTTTTGATATTTAATTGTACTTAGGGAGCGTGTATTCCACAGTATTCCCACGGATCTCCAATCCACTATCCAACTATGGACGCTGGCTTCTGCATTTCTAACAATTGGACTACAGAGAAAGTCGTCAGTGACTTGAATTTAATAGTCCCTTGGGCATAAGATGATCAAACACGTTTGTATGATTAAATAAGTCTCCGCGGCAACTGTATTCTATGTACAGTAGAACTTCTATATACAAAACTTATCCAGTTAGTTACAACTCTCCATGCGTTTCACCTTGAAGCAATTAGCCTCTTAATTCAAAATATTAACTTTTTATAATTTGTTATAAGTTCTCAATAATCTTTATCTCTACAATTTAAAGTTTTGCAAATCCGACGTCAACAAATCAAGTTTCTGTCTAAAATGTCACGAATTTTATATGTATTCGGAAAATAGCCAATTTCTTTGTAATGCACAAAGCTTCAAATTTTTATTAAAGGTTGAGTTTCACGATGTTGATACAGCTTTTAAAGATTTTGTGGAAGAGACAGTCGTTGTAGCCAAATAATTAGAATATGCAGATATTACTTAAACCGACCATCAAAATATTTTATGTATGCATAACAAGTATCATCAGAAACATTTATATATGAACCCCAAGTATCGATTATTGACCCTATAATAATTGTTTAGGAATATTTCAAACTTAGAATTTCAAAACAATACATATTGATTATCCCTCATATTAAATAATAAAAATATTCCCGTTTATTGAACCTAGTAGAGTTGTTATTTATTTCCTTAGTGAATATAGGTACTGCACTACATATCTAATAAAAATCGAAGATATTTTTACATTCCGAATCTCAACAAGCAATTTTCAGATGTATCTGAATCTATCTATAGATTTATAAATTTGAATGCTTCTTAGTCCAATTTCATTATCAATCCCAAATTTAAATAAGCATTTATGGTTTTTAATTGTTCATTTATCATATGAAAATAAGTATTGAAACTTGATTAGTATTTGATTTTACTTACCGTTATATTTGCGTGAATGTCATATCGTTTTCCATTTCTCCCAATAAACCGACAGGTCAGTTCGTCCACACTCGAGTTAAGAATTTGGAAGCGCTCATGACTTTTAGTAAATATTTTTTCCAGAGTTTTTATTTCTAACTTTAAAGTGTTTAAACATGCCATTTCGTGACAAAATAAAGTGGGTTCTTGTGTGGGCAGTTAGACTCGGTAGCACAATCCAAGGCTATTTTTCATAAATGTTCTGCTTCACGATTTATTTTATTGCGAATTGAAGCCAATATTTTGAGTTCACTAAATTAATTTAGAGACGGTTGGCTCGTTGAGATTCGGTGTTTAGAACACTGAACTCGCCGTCTAAATTTATTTATGTGTCAACTCACTTTTAACTATAAAATCGGAATAACTACTGCACTGAAATGATTAAATCAATCATAAAATTGTTAACATTTGAATGGTTTCATTTGTTATTTCTAAATTAACACAATTTTTTTTTATTTACTACACAAAATGCACGACGCATGAAACAAAACAGATACAAAGTTATAGAGAACCCGATTTGATAAGCAGTTTAAATATTTACAAAATCTCATTCAAAGATTCCTAGCAATTTCTTAATTAACATAACAAATTTCATTTCTCTTACAATTATTTGTACGCATTTTATGCAAAAAAACTTGAGTAAAGGACTTGGGACAAACCAAAATCACTTTCCCCAACAGTACGAAAACTGAAATCAAAACCACAATACTCAAGAATGTGGAATAAGGTAGGAACCAGAAAGGTATTACCATACATATATACACACATCTGCAAAAGTCTTTTTTTTAGTTGAGAAATTTCAATAAATAACTCTAGAACGACAAAAATAATAACGAAATTCTGATATTTTGCAAAAAAATCCGTACAACAATATGAGAAGTGAATGAAAAAAACATCTGTCTTTGTTATATGCTCAAAATTGATCAGCATTTAATGCAAACCTTTTGTTATTGGATTATATTGTACCTGGCAGCTTCGTTCTGCTTCTAGCTTTTGCAACAAAAATCGCTTTCTATCTCTTTTTAATTCACATATTGCACAAATAAAAATTTTATGTAAAAAAGTGACACGAACTGAAATAATTTTGTTACCTATTTATTCAGATTTAACATTTTTCACTATTGAGCATTCTTAAAATTTCATTGATTTAATTATAAGTTTTTTACTAAGCATTTGAAAACTGTATAATATTTCGTAGTCGCGTTAGCAACTTCTAACACTTTCTTTTTAAGTTTGCTTTTAAGCAAATTTATTTAGGAGTAAAACAGGGTTGTGAACTGAAATTTTATAGCACATTCACATAGTGTCATTTAGGCGGTTTTGTTCATTATAGCCACTAATAAGGATGATATACCTTACCATACAAAGTGTGTTCATATAAATAAGCTCATTTATAAAAAATAAATAATATGTGAATAAATAAATTTTCCACAAGGGAAATGATCAATTTTGAAAATATGTGTCATATGTTTTATTTATAAAATGTAAACAAAAAACAGCTGAGCTATGAACAAAGCCACTGAGGAAGGCAGTATTTAATAAAATCTTTGTTTTTATTTGATAAATATATAAAAGATATATATATAATATATGTATATATATAAATATATGTTTTAATATTTCAAATATATATTTATTTTTTTGTGACATATATTGAAGTACAGTTTAATTATTTTAGATGAGTAGCACCGAGAATTCAAAAATCCGATAGCAAAAAGAAATATGTACAAGTATTTAATAAAGTTATATTTCAGTAACTAAATATACAATAAATATTTAAAAAATTTTTCGTGATTTATACTATGTTTAGACTGCCAAATTTCCTTTATTTCGTTTAAATGAAATTAATTTAATTTGAAAAGTGTTCGTACTGTCCAAAGTTAAAGAATCGCATTTTTGTTTACAAATTGAATGTTAAAAATTACATGCTCAAAACATCATTTGTATCAGTGAAATTTTAAAAATTGATTATTATAACTATAAGGGATAGCATTCAGTAGTTTTATTACCTTTGGTAAATTTCAGGTATGTGGATTATTATTCACAAACAAAATCTTTAATGAAACCATATTCATATAATATTGATATGATGAAAATAATTTAATCTTATTCAATCTAATATGGCGTTCACATTAACCGAAAATGACTTATTTCAAATGAGCCATTCAAAAGTGTTTACATTCGTTGTAATTCATTTGTTCTCATTTGAAACAGGTGATTTTTTAACTTGCCTGTTGATTTGATTTTTGGCCTGTGCCAAAAGAATGTTACATGAAGGTTAAATACAATAAACCTTACAATATAAACTGAAAACATATTTTTAACTTCGTTAAATACTTTTTGGGAAGATGAAGTTCTAAAAAGAGGTGCATCGTTTTTAAGGAAGTGCAACCACCAAACATTTGTTCACCTTTTTTTGTAAATATGTCATAAACAGCTTCCTCAAACTGTCAAAATGGCATGAAAAGCTTTTATTTAGGGTATGTTCAATGTATTCATTTGCATTTGGAACATACTTGGAACACATTCGACCTAAGTTGGAACGCATTCATACAGAATGTGATCCAATGGATCTCATTCGCGCTTGAAATTTTGCATGCAAGAATAAGCCATTTCAGGTCAGTGTAAATGCCGTATAATTTAGTAAAGTTAGATGTTTTTTAAAGTAAATATCACTTTTTCGTTGTCTTAACTGAACTTTTGTGTAACAGTAAAAAAGCAACTCTGAGTAATATTGAGCTGAATGCAGCCCCGCGAGGCAGCATGAAAGGTGAATGACAGTTGATACGAAGCAGGGGAGACAGAAAAACGGAATTGACACACAAATGTGAAACCCTCACGTTGTGCGTAAAATAATATAAAATAAATGAATAACGAAGTGATTGTAACGAATATAATAAAATTATTTGCCAATAAAATATTTTCGGTATTTACATAACCGATTACATTTTGCTTAAAATTTATCTTTCGTATAGTTGCATTTGAAATTTCCCTTCATTTTAGGTTTCATTTCAACGAAATTAACCCGAAATAATCCACGTTTACCATATGGTAATGCAAATTAAGAAGTTACATACACATGAATAACATATACATTATACTCAAACATATACATACCCACAGATATGATTAATGCGTTATTTTATCGCAAGTCAAAGTGAAGGGCAAAAAAAAAATTGAAAAAATTGTATTTTCGATATGGTATGTCGGTAAGTGTACCTAATAGTAATCATGGGTCGTTAGGGCATGTGTTTTTGATGAAAAAAACTACGATTTTATTTTATTGCCTTTGTATTTTTTTTGTTTTTATGGAATTTTTTTCATGAACATTACATTATCCAGTTAACATTTTATATATTATTTTATTTTATAATGGTCTATCTTTGCAAAAAACACTTTATTATATTGGTCAGGTAACAGAAGATGACGGTCGCTATATACTCCTGCAAGCTATATGGTGAACTTTGAAATTTATCAAAGAAAGAATCCTCGTTCGAGAATAAGAAGTTAAATGTGTCGCACCTTCGGTCAGCATGATCGATGAAAGGATAGCCATTTTTATTTTACTTCGATAATCTCTTTACAAGTTATTTTTTGTTGGCGTATCTCAAATCATGTGGTTATAATGGAACATAAACAGTTCGTTAGAACCGCATTGCAGCAAACTGTCCATTGAGACTTAAGAAACACTTAAAATGAAAAGAAAGCGGCTATTCGGAATCTATTACGATGAAGAGCAACGGTATTAGTTTGGTAAAATGGAGAGAAAAATGTTGTTATTCAAAAACAGTTATTCAAAACAGCACAGAGGCAAAATAAATGTACCGCGCCCTTTTGCGATCACAGAATATAACAAATATATGTGTGATGTTTACAGATTTGACTAAAATTTGGTACAATACCGTATTGCTTACAGAGAAAAGAAATGGTGGTCCAGCATATTTACCTGGTTGATAGATGCTTGTTTTCAAAATCCTTGGCAGCTTCATCGAAAAGCGGCAACAAGTATGTCACAACTCGAATTTCGATGACAGCTGGTTACATACTATTGCAAACATTATGGTACAAAATCCAAATCATCTGGTCGGTTACCTACTAACAGATATTCCTAGCAAACGGGTCGAGTTCAACACACTCTCTATTACGAATAGATAGGACACTACGTCGTGCCGTTCAATCGTAAACATTGTGCTCGTGATTATTGCAAAGTTAGCGGACGAACAGCATGTGCAAAATGCTACGTTGGACTTTGTGTCAAATATTTTTTGAGCTATCATACAAAACCATGAACAATTTTGACTCCTAAAACAGTTCATTTTCATTTAATTTCAATAATTTTCTACTTTCCTGCAGATTTTCTTAATAAAAATTCATTATTTCTTCATAAAATAGTGTTTCCTTCTCAGAAAACAAAAAAAAATGTTTCCTTTTATACAAAACACGATTAGGCGACCCATAAAGCAACGCAGGTTTTTGACATTTTCCGAAAAAATGTCAACACGAATCAAAAGATTGTTCTTATATTCTTGCTTAGGAAGTCAAAATACACTAATATACGTCTTATTAATAAAATGTGCGACAAAAATTATTGGACATAAACGGGTTAAGGACATTTTCTTTAACTATGTTTTGAAACTGCTATTAAAAATGAATAGATGCCAAGCGAGTGGTCGGAAAACGTAAAGAAGCGTTTTTTTGAATTATGGAAGAAAGACTTACATCAAAGAAGATTTTATATAGAACCGACACTTAAATGAGCACAACACAAAATAACAAACACAGTCTTAGAAATTGCACTAATACCATATCAAAATGTACGATTATTTCCAGCTTGAGCAAGTTGAGGTCCTTATTCGCTCCGAATACGGACCTTAACTTGCTCCGAATACGAACCTTAACTTAGAATAGAATAGAAATAAGCGGGGTACAAGCTCCCAATGGAGCAGAGCACTGCGACCAGATTGATCTTTTGTGCTACAACTGACCCTAACCGAACAGAAGACATTCCGTTTTTCGAATGAAAGCCAGAATGTCGTCCGTTGAGGACCACCTAATGTCAGAAGGAGAGAGCAGCCCTCCTCCCAGTGACCTCCTCCTTGCCCAGATCAAGGCTGGGCAGTCACAGAGAATGTGACTGGAAGTCTCGTCTGCTTCCAAGCAGAGTCGACAATCCGTCTCCTCGGATTAAAAGAACCCGTTAAATATTCCGCCAGCAATCTCAAGTCTGATCTGCTAAGGAGGGATGCCTTGCCATAACTATATGGGTGAACCAGCTCTTTAGCCTGACGGTTACCTCGATTGTCGCGCCAGTAGCGATCTCTCTCGGCTAAGAACCATTTATCAATTAGATACCTAGTTGTAGACCAACTTAATCCACAATAGGGTTCCGGTTCACAGATTTGAGTGGCAGAACCTGCCCTTCCAAGACTGTCGGCAGATTCATTACCCTTTACTCCTGTGTGACCAGGCACCCAGCAAAGCGTCACTTTGTTTTTGTTTGCTAGCTGCTGCAGCACATCGAAGCAGTCTAGTAAAAGCTTTGAGAAAAACCTCCAAGAGGATAGAGCTTTGACTGCTGCTTGACTATCTGAGTAAATACAGATGCGGGCGCCTTTCAACCCGTTGTTTAAGTTGATACGAGCGCAGACCTCGATAGTGTAAACCTCCGCTTGGAAGACAGTGGGCCATATACCCACCGCTATCGAGATTCTGGTGTTAGGACCAAATATTCCAGCACCAACTTCTTCTTTGGTTTTTGAACCATCGGTGAACCATGAAATCACTTTTGGTTTTGCTCCAGGAGTGCCATTTTCCCAGTCTAATCGATCGGGAATGAGGACTTCGAACTTTCTACCGAAGCGAAGTTCCATGTTCATGCGATCTGTTCTATCGCAGATCTCTATGCCAGGAACTAGTCTACAGATAGAGTTTTGACTGTCAAGACTTCCTTGCATATTGATATCAGGGTGTAGCCTAGCTCCACTCAGGGCTGCTGTCTTTTTAATAAAGAGGTGCAGAGGGGTAAAACCCACTATGGACTCCAGTGCTGACGTGGAACATGTTCTAATAGTTCCCGTCATAGC